CAAGTCTCACAATAGAGACATCACTGGGCCCACTGAGCAAATCGATGAACAACAGGAGGACAGTGCTACAGTGCTACAGATTTTGTTAAGAATATGGTATTCTCAGGGCTGGCGCAATAGCACAGTGGGTAGGGTGTTTGCCTTGCATGCGGCTGACCTGGGTTCAATCCCCAGCATCCCATATGGTCTCCCGAGCATCACCAGGAGTGATTCCTAAGTGCATGACCCAGGAGTAACCTCGTGCATTGCCAGTTGTGACCAAAAAGAAAAAAAAGAATATAGTATTATTTAATTATATATACATACATACATATATGATGATCTTAATTTTATATATTCATTTTTATTCCATGCCTCTTTGTAAGAAAGTTAATTCAGGACAAGAAGCAGATCCAAATACTTGATGACTTCAGAATGATAGGGTTCAATTTCTGCATTTTATAGATAGTAGCTACACAGAAACACACTTTCCTCTAAAACTTCAAAATCTGATAAGTTCAAAGCTATTCATGAGTTTGTTTTGAAGAACCCTATGACTAAATGGTTAGAAGCAGTACAACTTCCCTTTTCTGAAGAATCATGGTTACCTCTTTAACTATAACATCCCTAGAAATATCTAGAAACCCTTCCCCAGAGTAGGATAATGTTGGTTGACCCTTCCTCCCTGGCAGCTGGGAACTTGTATTTGTTGATTGACCCCCAACCTGTCAATTACCTTTGTCCCCCTGATTTGACTCTGACTTGTAAATATTGTCTTTCTCTTCTCCTTAATGTCCTTTGCATGGTTATTATTTCAGAGCAGTTGTTTTTTGTATGGACACAGGAAGACAATTAAAAAGACAAGCCTGTGGCTTGGGAGTTGATTGACTCTAGATAATATATCTCCTGGACATCTGCTCTCTTGACTTACTACCTAGATCCCCAAAAGCAGGGTCTTGATGAGGGACTGATGGACTCAGGACAAACAGTGAGCTATGAGCTACCCTGGCATAGAAATGGGCCTGGTTAAAGGGCCCTGATGCTTAACTATAAGTTAAGAGCTTGGTCATGGACAAATTATGACATGATGCAAAAGTAATAACTAGATTTGGACCCTGCTGGAATTAGGAATGATTGATCTAGTCTGAGCACTGTAGTCTGAGTCTGTGGTGAGATGTCCCCAGGAGAGTTACCCTACACGCCTAAAAGTGTCTATTACTGTGTCCATACAAAATGATAAATTTTAGGAAGGAGAATTAAAGATACTAATTAAGTTTGCAGTTCTAAGAAGAAGAGAAACACATCTTAAGGGCTATTTTGCCCTTGTAGGCTGCAGGTGGTCGGGAAGACTGGAAAAACATTTTTGATCACGTTTCCCATGGGAAGGCATGGTTAGGGAGGTGTGGTGAGAGAATAAAAAAAAGAGCGGCTGCAGGGAGAAGAGGGGGGAATTGTTGGTTGTTGGATTGTTGGATGGATTGTTTGAAGGAGAAGGGATTGAAGTAGAGATAGTTACGGAGATAGCAGAGAGACAGGAAAGAGAGAGATAGAGGAGACATATACAGAGGGAAGAAAGAATTGCATGGTGAGACAGAGACACAGGGCGGGTGGAGGGAGCTGGGAGAGATGAGAAACCGAATAAATGACAACTAATCAGCAACCATCTTGACCCTCATTCTTCCCTTGTCTGTTCAAGGCAACAGCCATGAACATCTTTTCACATGTAATCCCTGCGGGCTTACACAGACTGAGAGGAGGTTTACATAGCTCCCCGTGAGAGCATAAATACACAACCCAGCAAACAGACTGAAACCCACAATGATCACCTTGTCACAACATCTAACATAGTCCCTTCTATGAATCTTCCCGAGTTTTCCTGCTCTTGGGATTCTAGAGTTGCTGTGAAGGCCCAAGAAGTCCATAATAATTTGGAACATGGAGGCGAGTTCCCGTATAACTCCAAAATGCACATGGAATCTATGTTATCTGTTAGAAAAATAATCCATAAATAATCCCAGAATTTAGAATCAAAGAATTTTCCAAGAAATATCAGTATGAAGGGAGAGAAGAATGTAGTGATGAAATTGGGCAGACGACTTGTTTGTTCATTGCAGCACTCTTTACAATAGCCAGAATCTGGAAAAAACCTGAGTGCCCAAGAACAGATGACTGGTTAAAGAAACTTTGGTACATTTACACAATGGAGTACTATGAAGGTGTTAGAAAAGATTAAGTCATGAAATTTACATACAAGTGGTACTACATGAAAAGTATCATGCTAAGCAAAATGAGTCAGAAAGAAAGGGATAGACATAGAAAGATTGCATTCATCTGGGGAACATAAAGTAACAAAATAGGAGACTAACACCCAAGAATGGCCGAAATTAGTAGCAGGAATTTTGCTCCATGGCTTGGAGGCCAGCCACACATGCTAGGGGAAAAGGGAGCTCAGATAGAGAAGGGAGCACCAAATAAAGGGTGTTGGGAGGATCCTCCTAGGATGGGAGAAGCATGTTGAAAGTAGACTATAGACCAAAAATGATTGCCACTCAATGCCTCTTTTGCAGACCACAACATCCAAAAGGAGTGAAAGAACAAAAGGGTATGCCCTGCCACAGAGGCAGGGTGGGATAAGGGGGATAGGAGGTGGGAGGAATACTGGGATCCGTGGTGGTGGAAAATGGGCATTGGTGGAGGGGTGGGTATTTGATCATTGTATAATTGAAACCCAAGCACAAAAATTTGTAAGTCTACAACTGTACCTCATGGCGTCACTAATAAAAAATAAATAAATAAATAAATAAATAAAAGAAATTGGGCAGACGGTCACGCTTGCACCCAGCTGTGCCTTCCAAATCCAAGAAATCATGCATATTAAAGCCAGTTGCTACTTCCCAAAGCACTATACAAATTCAATGCAATCCCTATAAGGATACCCATGACATTCTTCAAAGAAATGGAGCAAACACTCCTGAAATTTATATGGAACAATAAGCCCCCACGAATAGCTAAAGCAATTCTTGGGAAAAAGAAAATGGGAGGAATCAACCTCCCTAACTTCAAACTCTACTACAAGGCAGTAATAATTAAAACAGCATGGTACTGGAACAAAAGCAGAGCTGCAGACCAATGGAACAGAGTTGAATATACTGACATTTCCTCCCAAACATATAATCATCTAATTTTTGATAAGGGGGCAAGAAAAGTGAAATGGAGCAGGGAAAGCCTCTTCAACAAACTGTGCTGGCAAAATTGGACGGCTACATGCAAAAAAGTGGGCTCAGATCTCTGCCTAACACCATGCACAAAAGTAAGATCAAAATGGATTTATGACCTCAACATCAGACCAGAATCCATAATGTTTATTGAAGACAAAGTCGGCAAAACTCTCCATGATATTGAAGCTAATGGTATCTTCAAAGATGTCACGCCACTGGCTGAGCAAGTGAAAACAGAGATAGACAAATGGGACTATCTTAAACTAAGAAGCTTCTGCACCTCCAAAGAAACAGTGACCAAAATACAAAGACAGCCTACAGAATGGGAAAGGATATTCACCAAGTATACATCCGACAAGGGGTTGATATCAAGGATATACAAGGTACTGGTTAAACTCCACAAGAAGAAATCACCCAACCCCATCAAAAAATGGGGTGAGGAAATGAACAGAAACTTTCGCAAAGAAGAAATTCGAATGGCAAAAAGGCACATGAGAAAATGCTCTACATCACTAATCATCAGAGAGATGCAGATCAAAACCACAATGAGATATCATTTCACACCACAGAGACTGGCCCACATCCACAAGAACAAAAGCAACCGGTGCTGGCGCGGATGTGGCGAGAAAGGGACCCTCCTTCACTGCTGGTGGGAATGCCGGCTGGTCCAACCCTTTTGGAAAACAGTATGGACGACTCTCAAAAAATTAGAATTTGATCTGCCATTTGACCCAGCTATAGCACTCCTGGGAATATATCCCAGAGAGGCAAAAAGGTATAGTCAAAGTGACATCTGCAATTGTTTGTTCATTGCAGCACTCTTTACAATAGCCAGAATCTGGAAAAAACCTGAGTGCCCAAGAACAGATGACTGGTTAAAGAAACTTTGGTACATTTACACAATGGAGTACTATGTAGCTGTTAGAAAAGATGAAGTTATGAAATTTACATACAAGTGGTACTACATGGAAAGTATCATGTTAAGCGAAATGAGTCAGAAAGAGCGGGATAGACACAGAAAGATTGCATTCATCTGGGGAACATAAAGCAACAAAAAGGGAGAGTGACACACAGGAATGGCTGAGATTAGTACCAGGAATTTTGCTCCATGAATGGAAGGCCAGCCACAGGCTCTAGGTGAAAAGGAAGCTCAGATAGAGAAGAGAGTACCAAATGAAGGGTGTTGTGAGGGCCCTCCCAGGGTGGGAGAAGCATGCTAAAAGTAGTCGATAGACCAAACATGATTGCCACTCAAAGCCTCTCTTGCAAAACACAGTACCCAAAAGAAGAGAGAGAGAACAAGGGGGAATACCCTGCCACAGAGGCAGGATGGGACGGGGGGGGGCGATGAGGGGGGGGGATGCTGGGACCCATGGGGATGGATGACGGGCACTGGTGGAGGTATGGGGACTTGATCATTGTATAACTGAAACCCAAGCACAAAATTTGTAAGCCTATAACTGTACCTCATGGTTTTTCACTAATAAAAAAAAAAGAAAAAAATAAATAAAAAGTAAAAAAAAAAAAAAAAAGCCAGTTGCTGATGATAATCCCCAGACCATGAAGTTAGTTTCAACAACAACAACAAAAATTCTGGTTTTGAGGTCCATGTAACATTCTCAACCTTGAAGAGCAAACTGCCCACCCCAGGGTCAGAACCCTCCAATCCAGAACTGTGGAGAAATCAAGATGTCATTGAAGTCTCTAGGAGAAATTTCTAAAAGGAAATTCTACAAACTGAGACGGAGGAATCTTATACAGAACCAGAAACAGCTGCAGGACACTCTGCAGAGTAGAACTCACCATTGGTGGTTGTGTTGACATAATAACGCCGACCCTGAGGAGACAAGTAGCTTTGCCAGCCAGGTGGAAGAATAACCTGGCTTTCCTCTCCAGGCGGAGGGGGAACCATCCCAGGCTTCTGTAAAGGAGAAAAAAGAAAAGGTCATACACCTTAAGCATCACTGTAATTGTTGTTCAACCAGAAAGTTGGAAGCACTTAAAGTGACCTGGGATAACTGAACTGGAGAGTGCATGGCTCCCAGACCTCCTTTAGGGAGGACCCAGGGCACACAAACTTAGTTTCAGAGATATGACCTCTGAGAAGTGCTTTTTCTGGGCTACCACAGAAGGGACCTTTCCCATAGAAGACAGAGGGAAATTCCAGTTACTTAACAGAGCTGAGCTTTCTCCTTACCAGTTACAAAGGAAATTTCAAACAATGAAATAACCCTCTTGCATGACAGCTGAGAGAAACAACAAATGTGATAGTTCTGATTTACCAAATGTTGATAATACCATGCCTGGAATAACCACTTAATTTTAAACATTCATTCTTTGGACATTCCTCAAAAAGCTAGAAATTGAGATCCCATTTTACACAGCAATACCACTACTGGGAATACACCCTGGGGGTCCAAAAACACACAGCAGAAACCCATCTGCATTTCTATGTTCATTGTATCACTACTCACAATGGCCAGAATCTGGAAACAACCTGAGTGCTGAGAACAGATGAACTGATAAAGAAACTATGGTAAATCTACACTATGGAATACTAGAAAGCTGTCGGAAAAATGAGGCATGAAATTTGCCTATAAATGGAGAGACTTGGCAAGTACCATGCTAAGTGAAATGAGTCAGAAGGAAAGGGACAGATCTAGAATGACTGCATTTATTTGTGGGATATAAAATAAAAGTATGGACCTAATATCCAAGGCCAGGAAAATGGGCCAGGAGGACTGGTCAATGGTTGGTAATTGTATGGGAGATGGAGGGTAGTTAAGATAGAGGAGGACCCATTATGACAACACTAGTTGGAAATGATTCTGGACAAGAACTGAGTGTTGAAAGCAGATAAAGAGATACCTATGATAACCATTCAGCATCTATATCCTAAATCATAATGCCTAAAATGAGAGGGATAGAGAGAGAGAGAGAGAGAGAGAGAGAGAGAGAGAGAGAGAGAGAGAGAGAGAGAGAAAAGAGAGGTGTCTACCATAGAGGCAGGTTGTGGTGGGCTTTGGCTTGAAAAAGTGGGAGGGAAACTTGGGACACTGGTGCTGGAAAATTACACTGGTAGAGGGATGAGCATTGGAACACTGTATGACTGAAATGCAATCATGAACAAACCTGATATCTCTTGGAACCCCAAGTACAGAAAATGATAATGTTCATGGCTTGCAGTGCAAATCTACCCGAAATAATTAGTACAAGTCTTAAATGAGTGAGATATAATAAATCAAATCAGAAATGAAAAGGGGGCCATCACAAAAGAAACCAAAGAAATTCAAAAAATCATCAGAGATTACTTTGAAAATCTGTATGCCACGAAACAAGAGAACCAAAAGAAATGGATAAATTCCTGGATTCCTATAACCTCCCAAGGCTGAAGCAAGAAGATTTGGAATACCTGAATAGATCTATTACTATTAAAGAAATTGAAACTGTAATCAAAAGTCTTCCCCAAAACAAAAGCCCAGGTCCATATGGATTCACTAGAAAATTCTTCCAAACATTTAAAGAGGACCTATTGCCAGTTCTTTTCAAGCTTTTCCAGGAAATTGAGAAAACAGAAAAACTTCCAAACAGTATATATGAGGCACATATCTCCCAAACAGTATCTATAAGGCACATATGAGGCACATAAAAGCAAACTGAGACATCACAAAAAAAAAAGAAAATTACAGGCCGATAACCCTGATGAACACAGATGCAAAGATGGTCAATAAAATATTCACAAATAGAATCCAACAACTCATCAAAAAGATCATACACTATGACCAAGTGGGATGCATCCCAGGGATGCAAGGATGGTTTACAAGTGGAAGTCAATCAACATAATTCATCATATCAATAAAAGAAAAGTTAAAAACCATGTGATCACATCAGTAGATGCAGAGAAAGCATTTGACAAGATCCAGCACCCCTTTATGTTGAAAACTCTCATCAAAATAGATATTGAAGGAACTTTCCTCAATATAGTCAAAGTCATCTACCACAAATCTATGGCAAGCATTACCCTCAATGGGGAAAAATTATGAGGCTTCCCTCTAAGATAAGGGACAAGACAAGTATGCCCACTCTCACCACTCCTATTCAATATAGTACTGGAAGTACCTGCAGTAGTGTTTAGGCAAGAAAAAGATAATAAGGGCATCCCCAGATAGGAAAGGAAGCAATCAAGATCTCACTATTTGCAGATGATATGATACTATATTTAGAGAACCCTAAAGCCTTTACCAAGGAGCTCCTAGAAACAATAGACTTGGATAGTAAAGTCACAGGCTATAAAATCAATACCCCCAAATAGACTTTACTATACACAAATAATGAGAGAGAAAAAAACTATATGAAAAAAGCAATCCTGTTCACAATCATGCCTCAGAAAATCAAATACCTCAGATTCAGCCTAACTAGGAGGTAAAGAACCTGTACAAAGAAAACTACAAAATGTTACTTCAAGAAATAAAAGAGGACAAGAGGAAATGGAAAAAATCTCCTGCTCATGGATTGGGAGGATTAATATTGTCAAAATGGCAATACTCCCCAATGTGATCCCTATGAGAATACCCATGAAATTCTTCAAAAAAATTGATCAAACACTCCTGAAATTTATCTGGAACAACAAACCCTCATGAATAGCTAAAGCGATTCTTGGGGGAAAAAAGATGGAAGGCATCACCTTCCCCAACCTCAAACTACTACAAAGTGGTAATAATTAAAATAGCATGGTATTGGAACAAAGGCAAAGTCGCAAACCAATGGAACAGGGTTGAATATATTTAAACACACCCTCAAATTTATGATCATCTAATCTTTGATAAGGGAGCAAGAAATGTGAAGTGGAGTAAGGAAAGCCTCTTTAATAAATTGTGCAGGCAAAACTGGACAGTTACATGCAAAAAAATGGGCTCAGACCTCTACCTAACACCATGCACAAAAGTCAGATCAAAGTGGATTAAAAACCTCAGACCAGAATCCACAAGGTACACTGAAGAAAAGGTGGGGAAAACCCTCTACAACATTGAAGCTAAAGATATCTTCAAAGATAACACTCCACTGACCAAGTAAGTGGAGACAGAGATAAAGAAGTGGAAGTATCTTAAACTAAGAAGCTTCTGCATCTCAAAAGAAACAGTGACTGGAATACAAAGACAGTCTACAGAATGGGAAAGGATATTCACCCAATAGCCAGTGATAAGGAGTTGATATCAAGGATATACAAGGCACTGATTGAACTTCTAATAGAAGAAAACATCCAATCCCATCAGAAAATGGGGTGATGAAATGAACAGAAACTTTCTCAAAGAAGAGAAATTCATGCCAAAAGGTGCATGAAAAAATGCTCTTCATCACTAATCATCAGGGAGATGCAGATCAAAAGAACAATGAAATATCATCTCACACCATAGAGACTGGCACACATCCAAAAGAACAAAAGCAACTGGTGTTGGCGTAAATGTGGAGAGAAGAAGACTGGCCTTCACTGCTGGTGGGAATGCCGACTGTTTCAGCCCTTTTGGAAAATAATATGGATCTTTCTTAAAAAATTAGAAATTGAGCTCCCATTTGACAAAGCAATAAACTTCTGGGAATATATCCCGAGAGGACAAAAATTGCAATAGAAAGGATATCTGCACTTGTATGTTTATTGCAGCACTATTTACAATTAGCCAGAACCTGTTAAAAACCTGGGTGTTCAATAACAGACTGGTTAAAGAAACTTGGGTACATCTATACAATGGAATACTATGCAGCAATACTAGAAAAGATGAAGTCATAAAATTTGCATATAAGTGGATCAACTTGGAGAGTATCATGCTAAGTGAAATGAGTAAGAGAGAGAGGCACAGACATAGAATTACTTCCCTCATTTGTGGGACATATAATATTATAATGGGAGACTAACACTCAAGGATAATAGAGATAAGGGCCAGGAGGATTGCTCCATGGCTTAAAATCCGGCCTCACATGCTGAGGGAAAAGGCAGCTGAGCTAGAGAAGGGACCACCAAGTAAAGAATGCTTGGAGGGCTCGCTCAGGATGGGAGATGTGTGCTGGAAGTATGGACCAAACATTGTGGTCACTTAATACCAGTATTGAAAACTATAACACACAAAAGGACAGAGAGAAAAAGGGAATGTGCATGCCACAGAATCAGGGGCGGATGAGAGGGGTGATGGGAGGGATACTGGGAACACTGGTGGTGGCGAATGAGCACTGGTGGAGGGATGGGTACTCGATAATTATATGACTGAAACGTAATCACGAAAGTTTGTAAGTCTGTAACTGTATCTCATGGTGATTCATTAAAAAAATTTAAAAAATAAAATAGGATAAAATTAAATTTTTTTTTAAAGTGAGGTAAAAAGTATTCTAAAGTAACTATAAATTAATGAGCTACTAGGGCTTTTCTCAAATGTTCAAATCAATCTGGCAAAGAACCTTGGAATCTTAGTACCAATGGAGACTTATTTTTTTGTGTCTATGCATATTAACGAGCTGTTAATTCCTTTAGCAAGGCACAGTAATACTTTCTTTAAAATAGAATTCAGAGAAAAATATATGCAACATACAGAAACCAAGTACAGACACAAATGTTAAAATAGGTAATTTCTAGATATGAAAATATGGTCAATTTTATATTATTTTGACTTATTTATTTCATCTAAATCAAATATTTCCAAGCTTCTTTTGCTTATCTCCTCCCTCTTCAGAAAAAAAATTATTCTGTGCCCCCCTGGGAGTCTACTGTATTTAAGTATAACCATAAAGTGCTGTCAAAGTACTCAAAACTACTAGCTTTGCTTCCAGCGGTACTTTATGGTTCATTTTAGGAAAGAATGAGTCTTCTTCAATAAACACACAAAAGTAATTAGCTAAATAATACTTATAATAAGAAAATAGCATCCAAATTAG